TGCCTTCCCAATGGGACACCCACAGGAGCTCATCATGCGCGTGGGGGCGGCCGAGTTCATCACGCTCATAGACCTGCGACGCGGTTACTGGCAGGTGCCGTTGGCCGAGGATTCTCAGCTTTGTACGGCGTTCATCTCGCACTGTGGTCAGTTTGCATGGAGGGTGATGCCCTTCGGCCTCAAAAACGCGGCGGCGACTTTCCAGAGAAATATGAATCACGTACTGGCAGGTCACGAAGACTACGCGTGCGCCTATCTAGACGACATAGCTGTGTTCAGTACGTCGCTAGAACAACACGTTGAGCACCTACACAGGGTGTTCACAGCATTACAGGCGGCAGGCTTGCATGCAAACCTTGAAAAGTGTCAGGTGGCTAGGCCTTCTATTCGCTATCTGGAGCATATTGTAGGTTCTGGAAAGCATGGTCCAGATCCCGAGAAAGTGGCGGCCATTGAGGGACTCCAGGTGCCCCAGACAAAGAAAGAGCTGAGGAGCGCCCTCGGCCTCTGTGGCTATTACCGTACATACGTTCCTAACTTTGCAGAGATAGCTCGGCCGCTGACGCAGCTCACTGGGAAAGGGGTGCCTACTCAAATACCTTGGCCTCCTGAAGCCCACGAGGCATTTAAAGCCCTCAAGCAAGCCCTCTGCAAAGCCGTGTCGCTGGCTACCCCTGACCCGGGGAAGCCGTATGTGCTCCACACTGATGCGTCGATGGTGGCCGTCGGTGCCTGTTTAGCACAGATAGCCGCCGACGGCTCCGAAATTCCGATCGCCTTCGCAAGTCATCGGTTCACGCCAACGCAAACGCGGTGGGCCACGATCGAACGCGAAGCATTCGGGGTGATTCGGGGATTAAAGAAGTTTGAGACGTGGGTCTTCGGCACCCAGGTAACCGTCGTTACCGACCATAACCCGCTCTCGTACCTTACGAGCAGCGTGCCCCAGGGCGCTAAACTCACACGTTGGGCCTTAGCGCAACAGCGTTACAACGTGATAATCCGTCACCGCAAGGGCAGCACCCATACAAATGCGGATGCCCTATCTAGGCTCCCTAATGGTTGCTGGGAAGCACTGCCGGCTCGAGCACCATAGCAAGCAGGCGTGGAATGTGGCCTCCTGGACCACACGAAAAGTGCTGTGACTTTTGTGTGCCATACGAACTCCCGCGGAGTGAATGAACGTTTGTCTCGTGGACTCGTTGAGTGTTCAATGGTGTTTTCATACCACTATATTTCGCGTAACCCTTGAAGTGTGCATGACTTAATTTTGTGGTGTTGTAATGACGCCGGACCTCGTTTTGTGTTTGTAGTCCAATTAATCTTGGTTTAGATTAATGGATCTTGGAAGGGAGGTGTAAGGTCTGGCGTCATTGTTTATCGCTTTCTCGGCGTGCTCTATGTGTTGCCGGGCGCCGCCACCTTCGCATTCGTGACTAAGGCATCCCCGTAAAGAGATTGCCCTTTGCGGGAAGCTGGCCGGGGTGTCATGTTTCCTCTCCGTGCTCCGATGGATGGACGAGCAGCATTGCATTCCGGAGTGCCAAGGTTGTATGAGAGTTGCGCAAGACCTGACATCAGAACCGACGAATGGCAAAGCCTCTGAAGGAGTGATGTCAGTTTTGGCAAGTAGCAAAGCGTCTGAAGAAATGATGTCAGTTTTGACGAATGGCGCTGGAGAAAAGTGATGTCAGTGTTCGGAGCTTTTTTCTATGTTCTTTCACTTGGGGGGATTGTAAGCAGCGCGTATGCGCTGGTATTTAAGCGTGGTCTTGACTGGAAAAGGGGTTCTTGTCTGGAGCTAGGTGGGCAGGCCTCACCTCGAGTAGCCGCGGAGAGGGTCCGCGGGGCGGCCAGAAAGTTCCCTTCCTGCTTCGTAAAAGTTGTTGTATCGTGATTCCCTGTATATAAAGTATACCTACCCCATACCAAACCTCATCGAGCCTTCTCGCTGATGACATCGGGAGAGTCCGTGGCGTATCGAGAAGAACAAAGAACCATCTACTAACATATTCGAAATATTCGAACCCAAACTTTTAGAAACCGTGAAAGCTTCGAACTTTTAAAATCGTAAACTTCACAATATTAGAAAGTTGCGAATTTTTTCATTTCGAACCTCGGTCGGTACGAAAATGTCGAAATCTTTCGAATTCGAACCTCAGTTCGGTTCTAAAATATCGAAACCTTTCGACTTCGAGCCTAGGGTGGTTCGCGACATCCCTAGTTGCAGCTATCGTTCCCATCTCCAGCTCGATCATTTTACATTTGAAGTTGCTCGTGCACAGTCATATCAATGGTTCTCTTTCGTTGATTTGTTCGAATATTTACGATGCGACATGACACGCAGCTAAATTCAAATTAACATTTTCGGTCTGTGAAAAGGCTCCTCGACTTGGATTGGCTGTCCAAGTCTTCTCCTCTAAGAGCGCTGCTACGATGAGCAATACAAAAGTGCTGTGGCCAGAGTATCACGTCTTGATGAAAACCTTCTTTGTCTGTGCAAGTAAATTGAGCACAAGCTTGTGCCCAAGCGTTGTTTCCGGGCATATGCGCATGCACTTAAAGGAGCAAATTGCTGGCGGCGGACAAGGCACGATTCCATGAGCATATTTGCCGGCGAATAACAAAAAATTCAAAGAGTTAGAGCTGAAAAGCCAGTAAGACAAACAAAAAGTGGCATCTTATTGAAATGCTTTAATGAAATTAGCTGCTGCCTATTAAACAAAAGAAAACAACTGAGGCTTTTCAGCTGACTGTTCTTGCCTCGGGTGTGGTAAGCTGTGGCTTAATGTGCGTCAACATTTTGCCAAGCCGTTGATTCACAAGAAGAAATGCCAGATTCAGAATCTTCTATCGGCGTTAGGGCGCTACAGAATTAATTCCCAAAGCATGGAAATGCCTGCGGTAAAAATGGACGTAATGTTTGTTCGTGGAACTTGTAATATTTTTAGTGTGTTTGGAAGGTCATCGTCTAGGTATTAGGCTAGACACTTAATACTACACAACGAGACCTTTATTGTTATATTCGTAGCCCAAACATAAAAAATGATATGAAAGTCATTAGGAATTCTACGAAGAAAGTCTTTGTTTAATTATATATAAAATTACCTACTTGTAAGACATACCTGATGTTTCCGAAAGCCTGAACTGCGAGTACAACATCTTAATTACTCCGTATCAAATTAATAAAAATAAACTCGAAACAAACAGTATGCCCCTACGTGTACTGTATCAATTTTTGTATGTTTTTCTTTTTCTTTTTGTAGCAGCAAAGGTGTAGAGCAGACTTTTTTTCTAAAAAGGGTACTTCCATATAAACTCTCTATATCCCTCATCACCGCCAACCTCCACAGCCCAACCCTTCCGCCACGTGTCGTCGTTACCTACTTCTTTTGTCCCTGTCTTTCGGCGCTTCCTTCCAGTCATGAACAACCAACTAGCCCAACTTAACATTCCTTCCGACCCCCCTGCCATTCAGCATCTCAAGGTTAATAAGCTTTGCAGTAAATCCAACCTGAGCAAATACCCTTTTCTCGATTCGGATCCGTGTATGTGTCTTTAACCATTTGTATCGAAAATACAAGAATAAAAATTTGTAACACGGGCTTAAGACTGATCTACAAAGTATTTTTTAACCAGGGTAAAAATCCTCCTCACCACAGCTCCCACTTGCCCTCTTCCGCTGCTGTCTTGACGGCCGGCGCTTACATCAAGCTTATTTGAATGGTGAAAAGTTGCTATCTGTGGTACCATGTTGAGCAGTAAATCTCTTTGTTCTTCAGCGCAATGTTTATGAAAACCTTAAAATTGCATCATCGTCACATTTCTGCTAAATTTTTCACGTGGTGCATGTACACTTTAATATTTCAGAGGTAATTTACCGGCTGCTCGAACTTTTTGTTTTGTTTTGTTATCGACCATTTTTCGGTGTTTCTTTCTTATATTTTACAATAAAAATGTACAGCATCCTTAATGATACATTTTTATAGCATTGTACTTAGGTATTTAGAAAAAAAAAACAAGCATTTGTCAGCTACCAAAAATGTCTCAATTCAGACGATTCTGCGATATAGGTATATAACACACAAAAATATGCCTAAATCACTGATGCCGCTACGCTGACCCTCGACGAAATGCAGTAGAATTTATCCCCGATTTTGTGTGCGTTTAAGAGCCGTCAGATACATTAAGCCACACACGCGGCCGACTCAAGAGCCGTTCAACGTTCCGTGATTTTACGGTGGAAGCAGACGTGCAATACTGTGCACACATCACCGCCATTTGCTGAGAAGAGAATCGAACGAACGAACGGAGCGTTTGAGCCACGGGGCATCCGGAAGACTCAAGAGGGAAAGAGGGCGTTACCAGCGAACGAATGCAACCAAAGAACACTGCAGGAATCTCGGCGCGATGAAACTCATCCGTAACAGTACATTCCAGTTTGGACGAGTCGAGTCGAGACCACGACCATCCAAACAAAAGCGGGTTGTACGTAGCAGTGAACCAAAATATTTAAATACATACGCATCTATAAGGCTTGGTTCCACAGTAAGCGTACTACTTGGAATAGTTCACACGGTTTCATTGAAATTAAAAGTCGACTCAAGCTGGTCAGGAAAAGGATATAATTATTTTTCGATGCGCTATAAACAAAGTCGTTTATTATTAAGTTTATACAGCTATTTGGTAGACACGAAGGGTCATATCGCAATCACAACCTGATAAATGGCCGACACAACTAAGTCATGATTTTGTCTCATTTAATACAAAGCAGTTTATTGATTGGGACTGGGTGTTTGCTATTTGTGGCCTTTGAGCACAGTGGCAACAACAAAGCCATGCTAAGCATGACACAATGTGACATGCAGTACGGCCCTAAGAAAATCAATATTTTGATCCCGCAGAAAAATAAATCGACAAACAACCTGGCGTAGAAACAAATAACCAAGACCAAGCCAATCGGCTACGTAAGCATTCGGAAATACATTTTAACGACTCACGGTTGGCGCTCTTCACCGTATTCCTTGGCCTCGTGATGATCGCGATGAAAGTCCAACCAAAATACATCCCTTTTGATCTCCTTGGCCTCGCGTTCTACGAACCTCTCCACCACCTTCTCGAGATCAAAAGTATCTGGTTCCCCTGCTGTTAAGGGAAGCAAAAATTACACAGGGTTTAGTGATGCAATGAATAGACAGTCTAAACTAATATACACTCTTTTCAAGTCAAGTTGTTATTAAATGTTCAGCTTCCCGGCATTATTTGGTACATATAATTACAGGCACCGCCCAAAGATAAAAAAGTCATCAATATGAATTTTTCGCCACATACTTCGCCATGCAAAAACATTTCAACAATTTGAATTAATTCGTGATGACATATTAACGTTGTAGTAAAGACGTGTTGAAATATGTTAATTAAAACATAAGCCTAAATCAGACATATGCGCCTGAATGTGACCAGCTGAATTACCACACCTTGCTTTTTACAACCTTACGTTTTATTTATTTATTTATTTATTTGCGCAGACTTCAAACGCGGTGGCAGCAGTGTGCAAAAAAGCACCTTACCGCTTCCAGTCTTCAACGAGACCTAAAAGTTTGAACTATTTTCAAAGTACAGTCTACGAATTATTTATTTGAAACGGCCGCTTATAACACTGACGCAATCGTTTTAAGCTATGGGTAGAGGAAGAATGCGCCCAAAATCAGGAAGCATACACAAAACTGTAGTAGGCTAGGGTCATAAGCAGTCTTAGGGTGTTTCGCTTTTTCTTTTTTTAGCAAAATCTAACGGCCGTTTAACCTGAAACCAAGCCCATTTTATTTAAAATATTCTCACCGTTTGTGAATTTAGAGTTATGTAATAGGATATAACTAATAAATATACTTAACCACTCCAATTTTAGGAATCCATAAAAATATAAAATCTGTGAATGCAGGCAAAGGCAGCGAAGTACCTGAGACATAACCTACTAAATGCGATATCAATAAGAACGCTTTGAAACAATTTGATTCATTTTGGCCTATGAAACGTAAGTTGTGTGTGCTGTAGAAAGAAATAAAATATATTGAATATAAAGCGCTCAACATCTGTTGGACCTTCAGGTTCTGTTAACCCTTTTCGTGCCAATATCTTTCTTCATAAAAAATATAGATAAATATACCAGGTTTGTTTCAACAATATAAAAAAAACAATTTTCAAGAACATTGTTAATGTATATTGCTGGTAGTCCCATTGTGAGATGTTGTGCCTGAACAACTTTTAGTTTTTATTTTTTTGTTTATTATAAGAAGTTTTTGAAGCAGTTTCTGCTGGAGACTAGGCAAGCATACATGCTGCATTTTCTGCTGTACGTATTTCCGTCAGACAACAAAACAAAAAATAGCTCAAACCCTTTTAGGGAGTTTCCGGTTTTGTCTAGTACCCTCCATCCAGGCTGTGAAAAAACCAAGAACGCGTCGAAATTAGTTTTATATGCTCACACCAATCCGAGTGCCGCAACAGGTGGCGGCTCAAAAATAATTTAAACAAACAAGTATAGCACAGATATATAAAAAAGCTACGCAAAGATGTGTAAGCACGTCAACAGCCTGTCATTCACAAATGTTTTCCCACATCATTACGAGTGCACAAATAGCAATTGTGTTGATTGTGCACACTGGACATCATAATAAAACAACATGGTAAAGTCTCGAGCAAAATCTTCTGAAGATGCAGTGGCGCGAATTGCCAACGTTGCTTCCGAGCAACAACAGTTCATATTCCACGTGGGAGTTGGCCACACATGAAATATTACTATCTATGCTAATGCTCCACTGTCCTTATATTTTGAGGCGACTTTCAGATCAATTTTTATAAACGAACAATGGAAGATGTGATATTTGTAATCGTGTGCACATTGGTGGCGCCTTTAAATACATATATGACTGTCAACTGAAGCAAGACGTTTTGTAGGTTCGAAAGAAGACGCACGTCGCAATCTACGTTGCTGTGGCTGAAACACCATAAGTTGCTCGAGAGCTACAATGGGCATTTCTGTTTGAAAACAACATTTTGAAAGCGAAAAAAAAAAAAATATAGCTTGCATTGTTGCTCTTTGGTAAAATGGATATGAGAGGGTTAATTCCCGTTCTATCCCAAGCTCAATGGAAGGATGTTAAAGCTGAGAGTTTTGCTTACTCACCGGCTTGTTAATGGACCTGAAATCAAGGGATATGAATACATTTTGGTGTGCGCAACGTCTCTAGTCAGAATCACCACAGCAAGTTTCTTGATATTTAGCTTGAATGAAAAACCGCTCCTATGAATTCTTTTTGCACATGCGGAGCATAAGAACTTCGAATGAAATTTATTTAAACGCAATTTGTACCACTAGAGAATTTGCTCGGAATTCATGTCCCCGCGTTTCAGTCGGCTGGATGTGGTTCGCCGATTTTTTGGCTGCTTTTACTATGAACGTCCTTCAATTTTTTTTTTTTTTGGCAGGAGTATGCGAGGAGGGGCAGAAAAGTGACCAGTATAAATACCTGAAACTCGCGCCGTTCGTAGTCCCAGCTTCCGCCACTAAGAGTGCTTCGTTGCACACATTTCGAGACGCTTTGCTGACAGGCGTCGTTTGCTAAAGTGGTAGCGGCATGTTGTGATTTTTTTCTCAGGCGCTTCAAAGTCATTACTCGTGTTTTTACAATGTTTGATTTGAAGAAACAGCGTGCGGCCGTAAAATGCTGTTTTATTTTAGTGAAAACGACGGCGGAAGCTTTTGATATTCTTCAGATAGCTCACAAATAAAATGCTATGGAGCAATCTCAGGTCTACGACTAGATTTTTCGCTTCAACGCTTTTGAACTATTGATCGATGACCAACCTTGTTCAGGGCGAGCCTCAACTTCTTCAACTGTTGAAAACGCAAGACTTCAGAAATTTTTCACCCCGAGTTTTTTCCTCCTTGTAAAACTGTTAATCAGGTGTTTTATCTGGGAGTTTTGCGATGCATGCGCAGCTCAGAGAAGCATGAATGCACCAATTTCTGGGAAATGTGTGAGTGGTGGTTCTATCACGACAATACCCCGCACAGGCTGCCCCGACACTGTAACAATTTTTGAACAAAATTTTTATAAAGTACACCGCGTACCGCCCCCCCCCCCCCTTCCCCCCCCCCCACCCCCTCCCCCTGTTTACCGGACCTCGCCGCGGTTCACTTCTTTCTGTTGACTCGTTTAAAACAGTCTGGAAATGTAAAACGTTTTGTGAATATTGAAAGTTTTCTAAAGAAAAAACGGTTAAAGTACAGGCGAGCTGGTGGATATTTATCATGTTGGAACTTAATCCGAGACTGGCGTAGAAACAGAAACTTAAAAGCACAAGGGCCAGAGACAAGTGAAGAAAAGAACGTCTCGAAATTGAGACGTTCTCTTCTTCAATTGAGACGTTCTCTTCTTCACTTGTCTCTGTCCCTTCTACTTTTAACTTTCTGTTTCTACTCCAGTCTCGGGTTAAGTTCCAACATGGTAAAGTTTTCTAATCAGATATTGCGAAAGATAGAGAATGAATTTGAAGTGCTTGGATAAAAAAAATTACAACATGCCATTTTTTTTTTTTTTTTTGCAAATTCACAAGTTTTTGACCAGCAATCCTACCCTCGGGAAATGACTTTCCAGTGGGTTCCAAATCACTCGGACGTGTATCGGAATGAGGCAGCACACTCCTTAGCCCGTGACATATGACCATATTACCAGGACCCCCTGTGCTGGAGTGAGTTAGTATGACCCGCCGGAGAATCTAATTGCAGAACGGCTAAGCCCTGGGTTACTGACGCGAGCCTCGGAATCCTTTCATCCTCCGACCTATCCTGATCTAGGTTAGAAGGTACGCTATGTCGCTAAGCTCAAACCTCTTTTCTCCATACCCCCCCCCTGCTTTCCTATTACAGAGTACTCTTCGGGCGCCCCAATGGCTCCCCCTGCGGTGACTTTTCAAATACCCCTAACCTCTTGTTGGACTACTCCTCCACCTCCCCTCCCACTCCAATATTTTCGCCTCCTTTCCCCTCTGAGCAGCCCCCGGGGACACTGGTGGTGCGGCTCATTCCCCGGCGTCCCTATTTTTCCCCTTCTAGCGGGCTCTCATCACTCACGTCCTGACAACACTCAAGAGCCCCGAGTGACGATGACCATTATGCCCCCCTCTTAGCTCCGGACTGGACGTCCCTTTCACAATAAAGTTGGAACACAAACATACCGCTAGAACTTCGTCAAACAACGCCAGTCGGAAAAATTACTCGGAAGGGGTGCCGCTAATACTGTTAGCGGCGGAAGCTGGTATTACGATCTGCACTCTCTCCAGACATTCCTTCTGGTTACTTATGGGTCACTCCGTAAATGTTTTTTTTTTTTTTATAACTGAACCGTTGTAACTCAAAAACAAAAATCAGTGGAAATTTTTCACAAATTTTACGTTAATTGTTTGGGGTAATAAGCTTGTAACACCGAAAATAAGATAAGAACAGCTCATATTTTGCGATCCTACGTGTTTGAAATCAAAGTGTTTTCCGCCTTTCAGGATACCGATGAAGATCACCGGGAACAAGTTTATGTGGCATTGCAGTAAAGCCTAAACCAGTGCACTCGTGTTTTGTTATCTTCTTAGAGTTGCAGGATAGTCTATTAGACAGCTGGAAGGAACGGTAGTGTACTCAGAACCAAGTTGTCGAACTGTTCATCACTTCGGTTCGTAGGTGGTATTTTTGTTTTTGTTCCGCTTCGGTTTGGTTGAGTCATGCATTAAAAAAATATTTGTTGAGTTACCAGCCTCTAATCTAAAGATTGACCGGTTCACATTAATTTATACTTCTACCTAGAAGACTATTTTCCATGCATTTTCGGCAGCTTTTGCTCAGCACCTACTACTTTCAGTAGCAAGACAAAAAGTCGAGGTGTAATAGTTTCATGAAAAAGAGAAAACGCTTTAGAATATGAGATGTATCATATTTTGCTCAGTATATGTGAACTTTGCTGGATCATCGCTCACTCCACTCGCACTGTTACTGCAAGCGCTAGACCTGGTAACGTTTCTGTAATGCAGTGTATAAGATTTTACTCCCTCTAAGGTGATTTTTTTGGTAGCATACATCGGTATGTTTTGTTTTCAAAATTAGAGTGTTGGTTGAATAAATATGAAATATACATCAAAGGCGACAAGAAGTCAATTCACCTTATCACATTAGACTTCGTCCTGCAAACAACTATTTTAACTAAAATCATTAGGTCGCAACAGATCTCGTTTATCTGTTTGCAGCTGCTGCTTTTAGAAATAACGCTTGAATTACCTCAACATAACAAGAACAAATTCACTTTAGGGTAATGCAGATATTCGAACAAACCCCTTCACAATTAGAGAGCAAAATGTTTTATATATTGTGGAATTTAAATTTTTAATTATTATTTATCCTGTTTTTTTTGTTTGTTTTTTTTCTTTCATTGCCCTGAATTTACCAGTCTCGATTAGCCTCCCTGTCAGTCAAGCATTGAACATTTAAAAGTGACATTAAAAGCCTAATCACGCTGGAGAAATGCTTCTTTTAACTTGTTAGTCACGCGGTCACGAATCTATTCAAATTCGTTGCTACAAAATAATAGCGACTAAAAAAAAGGGCGTATTTTTTCAATGTTAAACGGGCCAAAACAGAGAGAAAAAAATCATCCTGGATAACAATGTCTGTTGCATTGATATTTCTGTCCTAGGTGTCGGTGGAAAGTGCAAGAAAGAAAGAAGCAGAAACAGCTAGTGACGAAATACCATGCGGAAAGAGGGGTGGAAAGGGCAGGAAAGCGCTCTCAGTGACCCAGAAAGTTCAGTGCAAAGGCTTTGTATCCGAGTGGTGCTAAAGGTAACTACGCGCAACGTCACGAAGAGGAAAGGGTGTGACGTAATCTGCTTCCATTCAAACCCTGGCTGAGGCACTACCCGAACTAAGAATACCGCCCACCGCATATTGCTACCACCCTCAAACGCGTTTGAGAGAATGACCAAATATGCAGTCAATTTTATTATATTGTCTATTACGTTCTTCTTCTCTTTCCTTGGGGATCATTGTTTAGTAGCGGCAAAATAAAACAAAGAATAGCTCATTCAACTCTTGTTTTCACGCAATGTTATATGAACGGCGCAACAGATATTACGCGGGGTCAAGATCACGGAGGGTTCCAGCATAAAACCTTACGTGATTTAGCTATCCTAACGCGGAAATTAGGTGCCACATAGGTGGCTGCTGAGACCCAAGTAGCAAGAAAGGCACACTCACCAGCACGAGCAGAAGTGCTACAGCGAGATGGAAGTAAAGGGACGAGGCCATGCTTGTACTCTAGAAATTTCTTCTCTGCACCGCGATACAATATGCGCTGGATACCACGTGTCATGCACGCGCTCGTCATCCAGGTACTGTACCTCTTGAATGAGGAACGATAAGAATGGCGTGATTCTCGCATTAGATAAAGAAGTGCACCATCAGTTGTCGTCTTCTGTGCACTGAACTTCGGGCGAAAGTATTGCGACCGCTTATCGGCGGCAGTCTTCCTCTGTGGCTGGATTCCTTACAAGAAGAGTCGAGCTGATTCATTGTGCGCTCTTCCAAATAGGGTGGATGGACAAAAACAACAACAAAAAAAAAGTAGCCGATGATTAAAGAAATACTAATCTTTGTAGAAACCAGGCCTAAAAGAAATTGTGTTTAATAAAAGTACAAGACCGTTTAAGATGGTTTATCAAATTAATACAATTCTATAAGGTAATACTAGTTATTGCTTCTGGTACGTTCGTTTAAAACTCACATAGCTCTCCTTTTTTTAAACACTGGACTTAGGAAGCTCAGTAATATAGCCGGTGGGAAATTTGAAATATTTCCACATGTCCCCGCTTAAACTTCAATTTAAATATGTTGAGCAGAACGCTTCCTGCATTTGTCTTACGAAATGTTAGTTTTTAGTTGTTCCGGACTAGAACGGAGGTATTTATGGACAGTTGCATGTAATACTGTCAATATCATAAAATATCACAAATCAAGGATCAGTTGATCCGCTGCCCAGAATTACCTGTCGTTCTTTGTACCCTCCAAGACAAACAAACACTATCAAATGCATAAAGCCGCCAGACAAAATTATCGTAAAGGAGCAATTAAAACTCGTTTACCATGGCGGCTGTTGCTAAATTTAAAAAAAGTCAAAGAAACACAAGCAAGAACGGACAGACACTGTGTAGTTTTCAGCTACCTTGAGGCCCCAATAGTTTTTTGGCCGGCCATTTTAACCATTCAGGTATCAACTGGAGTGACTATGCACTTCGCACAGTCTGTTATGATTCGTCAGAACGCAGAGAGTTTGTGTTAGTTACTCAGTTTTGCCACCTTACCCAAATTGTCCCAGATCCTTCAGGAGATGATTTTGCTATTGACAACCGCTTTTCATTTTATTTACGTTTATCATATTCTTGACGATATTGGGCGACCACAGGATTGTGCTTGTCGATTCAACATTTTCTCCGGCTCGGTTTGATATCATAAAAAACTTAAAAATATTCCAAGATCGACTGCAAAGAGCTGTTGTTCTATTTTAGTTCTTTTTTCAAACGGCTTCTTAAACCTTTTTGATACATGGCTTGTAGCTGAGATCTGGGTTATTCTTAACGATAAATTAATAAACTTTTCAATTTCTCTATTACGTTAGTTTTGAATAACAAAACCTAACCATTCCTTGGTTTAGTGACTATTAAAAAAAAACAATTTTGAACAGAAAGGCCAAGTCAAGGCCGCAGCCCAGTCAACAAATACTCTGGAAGCATGTTCTAAATACAACAAAAGCGAAACTAATTAGATATTATAATAGACAAAATTAGTTAATAGTTCTTTAGTTACAACCTTGCTAACATGTTTCTAACTAACGCTTGAAGGTTCTGGCAGGGGGTCCAGCCTAGAAACTAAAACTCCTACCCATTATACGTGAGAGTAGTTGAACGTGTCACCCCATGACATATCCATATTTAACTCGTTTTATACTTCAACGTTCACAGGTAAGTCATTCTCACTACCTTTGTACTCATGTCCTGCAGACACGAGTATTGATAACGGGGTATTTATTAGGTGCGGAATTGCAAGCGCCATTGAACGCTTGCGTGCTAACTCAGCTTGTAGAAAAATAACATCTCAAAACCTTTTTTCTATAATTACGAAAGATAAATCATTTGTTTTGTTGGGCCGCCTTTTCCAAGCGTATTTTGATTCATCTGAATTTCCCCACAATTGGGAACTTTCACAAGAAATTCTCGTGTTTAAATTTGAAGGCCGCAATAGTCCATCTAATGGACAACTCATTTGTCTTACAAGCCTCACAAGTAAAATATTCAAGCGCGTCATCTACTCGCAAAGCATGAACCACCTTAATAACTTCAGCTATCTGTCCACCCTCGCGAACTTGTTTTTCGGAAAACGCTCTCTTCTAAAACTAAACTATTTGAATTTGTGTCAGGTGTCGAAATACCTTCATTGACTAGTGCACTGAGGATCCCATTTTTATTGATTACGCTAAAGCATTGGGCGTTTACTCCTATAACTTACTGAACTAAACATAAATAGTCATGTTATCAGTTGGATTTTATCATTCCTTACAAATCGCAAGCAGTCTGTCTTATTTTTAGAGCGCAGCCCTTAGGCGTCCCTTTCCATGTTTCGGGACGTCGGCGTCAAAGTCGCCGTCGGGGTCGGCGTAAACGCGCTAATATAGCGGGATAATCGACGCCACGTGACCTCAACACCAATTCAATTCCCCGCTGCGTGAAATCAACACGAATTCGATTTTCCCGCTAAATCTAGCGGAAAAACAGAGTTTGTTTATTGGTGACGTAACATCAAGTCATGTGACGTCATTTTACTCGCTAAATGTGGCGGGGAAACTGATTTGGAGGAGAAGGGGATGGAGGAGGAGGGGAGGAAGAGAGGGTACAGAGGTGGAGGAGGGCCATACCCTCCTCTCCTACTCCTCCTCAAGAACTGCGCTCTAATGTTGCATTACAGAGATTGGTAAACGTCTTCCATTTTTATGGATGAGACCTTATCCTTCCCCATTACGGCCAAATCCGGAGTTCCCCAAGGCAGCGTCATGGTACCACTTTTCTTTCTCATCTACATGAATTACCTATCTTCCCTAATCTCGCCATCTGTGACGTGTTTCATTAACGGTTGTGTTCTGTACCGCCGAATTTCTCATCCTATAGAGTCCTATAATTCTTTCAATGAGACATTGAAAGAATTATGGGACTCTATAGTTAATGTTTCTAAGACCAAGCTAAATCATTTTCATCCTTGAAAACACTACATTCCTTTCTGCTCGATTTTCTTGGCTTCAATTTCACCTGTTGCCTCATATAAATACCTAGGTGTCTCTCACCGAATATCTGACTTGGATTGTCCACATTGATATTATTAAGGAAGCATCGAGAACTCTTAGATTTCTTAGAAGGTACAACAGGATCCCTACTAAAAGACATTTGGCACCTGTATGAAAGAAAGTAAACGGGCGCATACCAGTAACTGTTTAACCGTTGTGGTAACCACGTGTTCCCCGCATCCCTATCTAGGCCTAGCTCAGGCAGGCCGGGGAGCGTCGCCATGTCGGTGCGCGTCCCGGATGCGAGGCGAGGCCGTATTCTCTTGCGGACGGCTCTCCCTCGCCCTTCTAGGATAATTTGCGGAAGGCACACCCTTTGGAATCTTGATACTCGGACGCGTCCGCCCCTTCGGGGAGCCAACTTACATCCGACCACCCCGGCGCGTCCATTCCCGCAGGCTATATAAGACGGCCCAAATCCAAGGGCCAGGGGCGACTCTCGCTCGGGGAGGCTCTGCTCGACGGACCCTTTCTTTCGTTTACTGATCCTCCCCATCCGCGATACTGTCCTTTGCGTCAGTGTGGATTCCGACTGGTCATTCTGTCAATCGAGACAGCGCCGTTATTACGGACATAGTTGGCCCTCGGGGAAACGTGTTGCGTTATCGTCAGATAAACACGTCATCATCCGGACCGAAGGAACCTACTGTGGCTCTATGTGGTACCCCCACGGGGGGATTTCACGCCATACCGGTCACCCGTTTTTCAAACGGGCCACCCATTTGAGCCATACCGCTCACCCGTATACGAGCCAAACCGGTCACCCATTTGAGCCATACCGGTCACCCATTTGAACCATACCGGTCATTCGTTTGGGGAAATGGGTCACTCGTTTGGTCAATAGGGTCACTCGTTTGGGCCAGGTGGTCGCCCGTTCGTTCGGACGGGTGGCCAGTTCGCCCAGGCGGGTGACCGGTGACCGGGCACACTGTACCGGTTTAATCAAACATTTCTTCCGTTACGCAGTGTGTCTGTTTGGCAGTGAAGTACAGAGCGGCGGCACGGGCACACCTGTTTGACCCGCATGCAGTTTCAAGAGAGCTATTCTGAATGTCAGTTCACATTTCATCAGCGGATGCAAAGCAACGACGTAGCAATCGCAATGCCAGAGCCTACTGCGCCTTGATCTGGCCGACTTCCCTCGCTCTGCTGAGGTGTGAGCGCGGGACTGTCGAGCACCGTTAGCTTGCTGAAGATGCAGGACACCGCTTTGTCGTCGCAAATCCTTTACCTTCCGAACACGTGCGAAGCCGTTCCAGCGCTCGGCGTACCCAACGCAGCGCCTCAATAATCCCTCGCGGAGAATGGCAACATTCCGTTTCTGAGCTCTGACGACTCATCGTCACGGAAGTTTATGTTCGCGAGAATTCATAAAGTACTCGCATTTGAATGGCGACGATCGAAACAGCCAAAAGGAGCATGACAGGTTGCGATGCTGCGTGGGCTGTGCGCCGGGCGCTGTAATGGCTTCGCAGGCGTTCGCAAGGCAAAATACACTCAACGACAAAGCGGATTCCTGCAAAATCAGCAAGCTCACGGTGCTCGAGATTCCCGCGCTCCCATTTCAGCAGAACGAGAGCGGTCGGCCTGATCGAGGCGCAGTCGGCTCTCGTGTTGGGATCGCTACGTCTTTGCTCTGTCTACACCGACATGTGCACTGAGATTCAAAAGAGCTTTCTCGAGACTGCATGCGGGTCAAATAGAAAAGTCTATAGTGCGGTATAGTGTCGTGATAACGTGTAAACAGCAGTACTTACTGACATCGACAAGGCGTAAGCAGCTGCGTTATGCCCGTTGACGTCCACGTCAAAAACACCAAAATATACATTTCAAAAAAGCTTTTAATACAAAAAACTTACTTAATCGTGAAATGCGTGCCACCTTAGAGGCGACCTTTTACCTCAATATTATGCGAATTTCTCAAATGATCCAACACTGTTGCTGATCTTTTTTATTTCTTTTCTGAAGTAATAAAGTCCTTTGAGCTTCTTGGATTGTAGCACTGTGGGCTAG